GGAAATGTATGTGGATATATTGAAGCAACATCTCAAGACATCAGTCAGGAAGTTAAAGCTTGGTCGCAAATGGGTCTTCCAAATGAACAATGACCCCAAGCATACTTCCATAGTTGTGGCAAAATGGCTTAAGGACAACAAAGTCAAGGTATTGGAGTGGCCATCACAAAGCCCTGACTTCAATCCTATAGAAAATTTGTGGGCAGAACTGAAAAAGTGTGTGCGAGCAAGGAGGCCTACAAACCTGACTCAGTTACACCAGCTCTGTCAGGAGGAATGGGCCAAAATTCACCCAACTTATTGTGGGAAGCTTGTGGAGGGCTACCCGAAACGTTTGACCCAAGTTAAACAATTTAAACGCAATGCTACCAAATACTAACTGAGTGTATGTAAACTTCTGACCCACTGGGAATGTGATGAAAGAAATAAAAGCTGAAATAAATCCTTCTCTCTACTATTATTCTGACATTTCACGTTCTTAAAATAAAGTGGTGATCCTAACTGACCTAAAACAGGGAATTTTTACTAGGATTAAATGTCAGGAATTGTGAAAAACTGAGTTTAAATGTATTTGGCTAAGGTGTATGTAAACTTCCGACTTCAACTGTAAGTATGGTGATAATATCATGAGGTCCCTGGCAACTCCCAGCCCAACAATACAGTACAGTAAATCCCCTGCCTGTTTTATATTTTGTTTTATATGTAATGTAAGTGCTTTAATATGTTTGGACCCCAGGAAGAGTAGCTGCTGCCAATGGGGATCCCTAATAAATACAAAATACAAATACACCGCGGTTCTAGGGAGCTGGCTAGCCACAGCGCTAGCGACGTTACACTAACTCCCATTACCTAACATGGGAAAACAGCCTGCTACGGCTAAATGGCTAGTGTGACGGTAATGGAGAGCGATCCACACACTCCTTAGTATTTATTTACACTGCTCGTAGGATGATACAGTATTTAGGCTATACGCTAGTCCTGTGTAGCGTCTCTACTTTATCCTCCCTCTCCTTCTCCTGAAAGGCTACACTGAAAAGGGGCTTTTATTTATGGCTGCCCTATGTGTACCTCTCTGCACACACACACACGCACACACACACACACACGCACACACACACAAAGATGAAAGGGTGGTCACACAGCCTCCGACACATGATTTTATGGCCCTGAAAAGGTTGAGAAGGTGAGAGAAAGAAGACTGAACAAAGGGAAAGATTCCTATTCATATAGTCCTGGTAGTCAGGGTCACACAGTAAGCCTTTAGCGGGGGCTCAAGGTTTAGGGCATTTCCCAGATGTAGGTTATCCTGTTTCCCTGTTCGACGCCGATTAGGTCACTCCAGCTACACTGAACCAAAAAAATAAAAAAAAAAAAAGGAATAATTCGATTGTAAAAGTGAAAAAATAAAAGACAGTGATTTGTTGCCATTGTCTAGTCCCCTCCCACACACACTGACGTCAGAACTCACCCGCACAGGGGTGGTAGAGATGCAGTCACAGATGTTTTCACTGTCACGATCGCATCCGGGGAAATAAGACAAACAGCAGGTTAATTAGAGAAGGGTGGTTCTTCACAAAACTAGATTTAAAAAAATATGATGATTTGGGGGGATTTTCACACAATGTAATCCATAGAAGAGTACTATGGAGGAAGGATTGTTGACATATATATGACATTTGTATCTTAAAGCATAATTGAGAAAAATATCAAACATGAATATTGAAAATACATAATTTTTGATTTGCCACATTTTTCTATATATGGTTGAACATAATATACTCTACGGGCTTATCAAAGTTCCAGAATGGGATCTCTGCTAGTTTTAAAGTTATGGGCCATTTTATAGAGAAATTGGCATAGTAGTCAATGTAACCAATCACAGCCCTCCTTTTAATTGTATCATTGCACATCCTGCAAATCACCAGCATTTTCACATTCAATCTGCTAGTAATGCTTACAAATTGGATCATAACTCTAAAAGTAGCAGAGATCCCACTCTGAAACTTTGGCATGCCCGTAGTAGAATATATTATGTTCAACAATATATACTGAACAAAAATATAAAACGCAACATATAACAATTTCAAAGATTTTACTGAGTTAAACTTTTTATAAGGTAATCAGTCAACTGCAATAAATAAATTAGGCCCTAATCTATGGATTTCACATGATTGGGAATACAGACATGCATCTGTTGGTCACAGATACCTTAAAAAAGGTAGGGGCGTGGATCAGAAAACCAGTCAGTGTCTGGTCTGACCACCATTTGCCTCATGCAGTGTGACACATCTCCTTCGCATAGAGTTGATCAAGCTGTTGATTGTGGCCTGTGGAATGTTGTCCCACTCCTCTTCAATGGCAGTGCAAAGTTGCTGGATATTGGCGGGAACTGGAACACGCTGTCGTACACGTCGATCCAGAACATCACAAACATGCTTAATGCGTGACATGTCTGGTGAGTATGCAGGCCATGGAAGAACCTGGACATTTTCAGCTTCCAGGAATTGTGTACAGATCCTTGCGACATGTGGCCGTGCATTATCATGCTGAAACATGAAGTGATGGCGGCAGATGAATGGCACGGCAATGGGCCTCAGGATCTCGTCATGGTATCTCTGTGCATTCAAATTGCCATTGCTAAAATTGAATTGTGTTCGTTGTCCGTGGCTTATGCCTGCCCATACCATAACCCCACCGCTGTCCACAATGTTGACATCAGCAAACCGCTCGCCCACACAACGCCATAAACGTGGTCTGAGGTTGTGAGGCCGGTTGGACGTACTGCCAAATTCTCTAAAACGATGTTGGAGGCGGCTTATGGTAGAGAAATGAACACTCAATTCTCTGGCAACAGCTGTGGTGGATATTCCTGCAGTCAGCATGCCAATTGCACGCTCCCTCAAAACTTGAGACATCTGTGGCATTGTGTTGTGTGACAGAACTGCACATTTTAGAGTGGCCTATGTAATGAGCATGCTGTTTAATAGGCTTCTAGATATGCCACACCGGTAAAGTGGATGGATTATCTTGGCAAAGGAGAAATGCTCACTAACAGGGATGTAAACAAAATTGTGCAAAACATTTTAGAGAAATAAGCTTTTTGTGTGTATGGAACATTTCTGGGATTTTTTATTTCTGCTCAAGAAACATTGGACCAACACTTTACATGTTGCGGTTATATTTTTGTTTAGTGTATATATATATATATATATAAATAAATGCCAAATCTAAAAATATATATATTTTCAATATTCATGTTTATATTTTCAAATGTTCATACATTTATGTAAGAAATATGTTATTGAAATCAAAATATTACTCATATTACAGATATTCACATTCCTACAAAGGACCCTTTAATGGATTACATTGTGAAAATACCAAAACTCATGGTATTTTTCTGTTCTAGGAATCACCCAAACGCTCTTTCTCTGGAGCCACACACACGTGTACACAAAAGAACATGCTTCAGGTTTTTTTTTACGACAATGATTTAGCTGGTCAACATAATGGCTGACATAATAGAAAAGAAACAGCTCAAAACCTCTGTGGTAAACCTCCACAGGAACCATGGGAACAGGGAGCCGACGGAAACCCCCCCCCCACCAAACCATTCTAAATAAACCTTAACCTAACCTAACCAAAACAACAAGGATCCCCATTCCTCATGGTTAAAACCTTAACCTAACCAAAACAACAAGTATCCCCATTCCTCATGGTTAAAAACTTAACCTAACCAAACCAAAACAACAAGGATCCCCATTCCTCATGGTTAAAACCTTAACCTAACCAAAACAACAAGGATCCCCATTCCTCACTGTTAAAACAAAACAGACATAGCTTTCAATCAATCCATGTTTGAAATACTAAAATGTTCAAAGAGCTGTTGGCAGCCTCAGTCATAGCCATTTGGGGTGGAGTGGTACTGCATTACTGGGCCATACAGGCATTGAGGCATCTCGACATTTAAACAGCATGAAAGGCAAAAGATTAAAGACCCCGGAGAGCACCCGATTGATTCATTATACATCAAAGGGGAATGATAGTCAATCTGCCTCCCTGAAATAAAGCGCTTCCCTCCATCTCATCTAACTAACTGCTCTAGATGTAATGAGAACGTGGGTTAACTTAATACCATGTGGGTTTGGTTGATCACATTTGTGTTTTAGAGGACAGAGATGGGGAGTAATATGGGGTGAATTGTGTTGTGGTCCAGCAGTGGTTGGCTTTATGGTGATTGTGCTGTAGCCTCCAATCTGTGTAAAATGGCTGGCTGTGGGTTGATGCTGAAGTGGTGCAGTGCGCCCTCTGCTGGTGAGGAGTTGTATATCATTGGTGAGGAAAAGGGGAAAGCCAATTATGTCACTGTAGTAGAGTTGATTACACCCTAGCCTAGGTCACCAATCTGTGCCTCTCTGGGAAATACCAGTCAAATTACAACAACAACAAAAAGTACAAGTACTCTGAAAAGCTACTAAATGACACTAGCAAGAGTAGTTGTAATGAGTTACTTTACACCTTCTGCCGATCGGTTTCTCTCTGGGATGCCCAGCCGTTGAACACGTGTTTTATGGACTAGTTGAATCAGAATGACCACCACTTGGAACAAGAGCCACTCGGCAGTCAAAAACAATATTCCGGGAGCAGACGGTTTAAAATTCCATAAATTTTTCCAGACTCTCGGTTTGTCCCTTGGAGTGTTTTCTTGGCTGAGAGGGTGGGGAAAAGACTTGAGACGTGTTTGGTGTGTCACGCCAGCCAGACTGAGAGTGTGTCCTGTCTGAAGTGTCTGTGGTTCCTACACTAACCAAGAGAGCATCACATAGCCTTCAGAGAGAGCTAAGTGCTAGGTGTGTCCTAGCATGTACGTACGTGTACCAGTGTCCAGAAGCGTGTGTGTAGGCAGGTACGTGGTCACACTAACCTGCTCCTTGTATTGCTCCTGAGACAGACAGTCAGTCATGTTGACACAACCCAGCAGGCAGCCGGTGGGGTAGTCTTTAGGAAACGTAGGATCTGGGGGAGAAGAGGGTGGTCGGTGAGAGTCAACAGTATGCTTATATGCATCCTAATAATCTGTTATTCATTGCAGTGTGTGTGTGTGTGTGGGAGGGGGGGGGGGGGGGATAAAGAGAAAGTGGGAGATAGAAAGTGGTAGCCTGTGTGTGTGTGTGTGTGTGTGTAACCATGTGTGTACCTCTCTTGTAGATCTGAAGGAACATGTTCTCCACCTGAGTGACCTCTTCAGGGGCGGGCCTCTTGGCTGCAGCTGCTATCCACAGAAGGCCCCGGTGGGACGTGTACCAGCTCCGCCCCTCCACCCTGGACACACATAGTATCATACAATATTAATATGCCATTTAGAAGACGCTTTTATCCAAAGTGACTTACAGTCACACGTGCATGCATTTTTACGTACGGGTGTTCCCGGGAATCAAACCCACTATCCTGGCATTGCAATCGCCATGTTCTACTAACTGAGTTACAGAGGACCATGTTCTACTAACTGAGATACAGAGGACCATGTTCTACTAACTGAGATACAGAGGACCATGTTCTACTAACTGAGCTACAGAGGACCATGTTCTACTAACTGAGCTACAGAGGACCATGTTCTACTAACTGAGCTACAGAGGACCATGTTCTACTAACTGAGCTACAGAGGACCATGTTCTACTAACTGAGCTACAGAGGACCATGTTCTACTAACTGAGCTACAGAGGACCATGTTCTACTAACTGAGCTACAGAGGACCATGTTCTACTAACTGAGATACAGAGGACCATGTTCTACTAACTGAGATACAGAGAACCATGTTCTACTAACTGAGCTACAGAGGACCATGTTCTACTAACTGAGCTACAGAGGACCATGTTCTACTAACTGAGCTACAGAGGACCATGTTCTACTAACTGAGATACAGAGGACCATGTTCTACTAACTGAGATACAGAGGACCATGTTCTACTAACTGAGATACAGAGGACCATGTTCTACTAACTGAGATACAGAGGACCATGTTCTACTAACTGAGTTACAGAGGACCATGTTCTACTAACTGAGATACAGAGGACCATGTTCTACTAACTGAGTTACAGAGGACCACATACATCAGTTTTTACCCCTTCTTCTTTTTAATGGCTAGTCAAAAAGGCTGCCTTTTGGTGCCTTTGACCAATAACAAGGCCAATAGTGATGCTTTTGACCAATAACATAGCCCATTGTTGTTGTGTGTTTTGTTCCTACTCAATGCCTTTGCAGGGCCTATTGTTAGAGTGTGTTATGTACTTCCTGATGACCAGTAGGGATGTTTTTGACCAATAGAATGGCCAGAAGGGATGTTTTTTTTACCAATGGCATGGCCAGTAGGGATGTTTTTGACAAATAGCCTGGTCAGTAGGGATGTTGTTGACCAACAGCGAGGCCCATTATTAGAGTTTTCTGTACCTCTTTATTCCTTTGACCAGTAGCGAGGCCCATGGTTGGTGCATGCTGAGGCACCAGCCCCCGTCGGCCATCTCCTGCAGCTCTTTGTCCTGCAGCCGGAGTCTGGAGCGCTCTGGGCATGCAGCGCCGCCCCCCTCCGTACCGACAACACCTTTATCCTGGGATCTCCGAGGGCCACTGCCCACGTCCACCCACTGGAGATACATGGAGAGAAGGATATGAGTAGAGATTCACAGAATTATGATGACAAAATGTTTGCAGCTGTAGAGGGATTTACCAAGGTAAATACACACGCCACAACATTATGAGCAAATACTGTGTGTGTCCTACCTTTGGTGCAGCCTGTACTATGTTGGGGTTGACCAGCTCTCGCAGGTGCTGCCGTCCCGCTGGTCCCTCAGGGCGTTGTGGAGACTTCACCTTGGTGCCTGTGTTGAGGGCCTTGACCGTCTCGTCAAACCTAAAAAACACCAAGGAGTGTGGTAATAAAGTTTTTTTAGGTGCCTTGTTTCAAACTATACACACTTTAACCCATCTAGCTGTAACAGTGTAGATACATTAGCAGGAGAAATGAAGTTTACCACTGTGTTGTGAAAGTCTGAAGGGTGTATTAAACACCTCCTTTTGTTTATGTAACCCGGCTCACAATAATGGCTGGAACGGAGTGAATGGAATGTCATTAAAACACATAGAAACCATGTCTTTGATCCCATTCAGCCTATTGTGCTCCAGCCATTACCACGAGCCCATCCTCCCCAATTAAGGTGCCACCAACCTCCTGTGGTGTCCATTGACATGTTCTCAAGTCATTCACTCACTTCTTGTAGTAATGACTGTTACTCTCTCCCTCGTCAAGCACCTGTCGGCCTGCGAAGTCCAGCGTGATCTTCCTGTCCTTCCTGGAGGCGTGGCGAAGCTCCCGTAGCTCCTCCTCCTTCTTTCTCAGGTGCTCGCGCTCGCTAGGCAACAGCCACTGGTTGGAGTCGGTGGCAAAGTAGTCGGACTCGTCATCCAGGACCTGCGTTCGCCGCGTACTGTCGATGTAAACGTGGGGGGAAAAGTTATGAAGAAGGTAATGTCACTCCTGTCAGCGGCATATAATGACATAGCCTCAAAATATAATGACATAACCTCCAAATATGACATAACCTCCAAATATAATGACATAACCTCCAAATATGACATAACCTCCAAATATAATGACATAGCCTCCAAATATAATGACATAGCCTCCAAATATAATGACATAGCCTCCAAATATAATGACATAGCCTCCAAATATAATGACATAGCCTCCAAATATAATGACATAGCCTCCAAATATAATGACATAGCCTCCAAATATAATGACATAGCCTCCAAATATAATGACATAGCCTCCAAATATAATGACATAACCTCCAAATATAATGACATAGCCTCCAAATATAATGACATAGCCTCCAAATATAATGACATAGCCTCCAAATATAATGACATAGCCTCCAAATATAATGACATAGCCCCCAAATATAATGACATAGCCCCCAAATATAATGACATAGCCCCCAAATATAATGGCATAGCCTCCAAAAATAATGACATAGCCTCCAAATATAATGACATAACCTCCATATATAATGACATAACCTCCATATATAATGACATAGCCTCCAAATATAATGACATAGCCTCCAAATGCATCAGGAAGAAAGTATAAAGAATGTGTCTTTAAACAGAGAAAGAGTGAAACCACATTAAATACTATATGCACACTACATCCCAACCTGTTCTTGTCGTATTCCAGCAGTTTGTCTTTATGTTGAAGGGCCTTTTCTAACCCTGCCTTCATCTTAGCCTCTTGGTGTGGAAGATAGTCCCTCTCCGATGCCCCCTCTGTGAGACAGACACACACGGGCACACAGACATTACTATATAATTCAACAACTCTCTACTACGCTACGTAGATAGATACTACTGTTGCCTTGTCTCACCCATGAGTTTCTTGCGCAGTTTCTGACTTTTGTTGGAGTCTCGTTGCAGAATCTCTTGCTCCTCTTTGGTGCATACCTGGTGAATTCATAGAAGAACACAAGAAACCAGGGGAAAATACTTCTAAGAGGCCAAATTGAATTTGAAAGAACTTACTGGGGAAACATACAACAAGCATAAAGTTAGAGGTCAGGTAATTTCAAACTCAGAATGGTCGTTTTCTCACCAGGGTGCCACAGAAGATGCAGGGCCCTGATCCCTCCTGCTCACACACAATGCGTCCGCAGATCATGCAGTTGTTGATGAGGTTGTGCTTCTGGGCCAGACATTCGCAGGAATGACGCCCGGGCAGCAGGATAGCCAGCTTGTCCTGGCCCTCTTTATTGTAGAGGCTCACAAACGTATTCTTCTTCTTCTTCTGTGACGAGGAGCTGCCGCTCTCCTGGGCCTTCATCAGGTCGATGGGAGTTTTCACCACCTCAGGCTCAGGCACTGCTTGACTAACAGCCATCACCTCTTGCTTGTTCCTGCCTTTGCGCTTGGATTTCTTCTGGGAGTCCTTGGACATGTCTGGAGCATCTAGAGAAGCATACGACTGGTTAGCATTCCCTCTCATGCATGTAATTGTTACTGTGTTTGGATAGTCACTTATCAAGGACAGGATGGACATCACAACAGTCTTGAGTCTCACTCGCATCGTACAGTTGGCATACTGTATTAGGAACCATATAGCCTGACAAAAAAATGACTTATAAAATATATTACAACTGAAAAAATAAACATATTAAACAATATGGTAACAGGTCAGTGTCAATGAGACAACAGGTCAGTGTCATTGAGACAAGAGGTCAGTGTCAATGAGACAAGAGGTCAGTGTCAATGAGACAAGAGGTCAGTGTCAATGAGACAAGAGGTCAGTGTCAATGAGACAAGAGGTCAGTGTCAATGAGACAAGAGGTCAGTGTCAATGAGACAAGAGGTCAGTGTCAATGAGACAAGAGGTCAGTGTCAATGAGACAAGAGGTCAGTGTCAATATGGCAGTTGAAGAAGGCCTCCTACCTGTTCCCGACAGAGAGCTCATGGGGAACAGCCCAGCGCTGTCAGGAGTCAGTGTCTGAGACCGCTGCCATCTGTCAAGGAGTTCATCTATAAACTGCTTCTTCCTTCCGTCAGTGCCCTGAAGGAGGTCCCCAACATACTCTGCAATCTCGTCCGCATTGTCGATGGACAGAATATACCTGTAGAGAGTGAGAAGAATGTCAATGGCATTGATAAGCATTTATAGCTAGCCTAGATAGTAGAGTTAATTGTTGAAATGTTGACCTATGACAGCTAGGCCTACTTTGGTAAACCTTGATTTATGTCCATCTCATAGTCAGTCAGTCAGTCCGTCAGTCTACGCTTTGGCTTAGTAGACCATGATTTTGATGACGTGACATTAAGATATGGCCACCTGAAAAAGCTAGCTAGCTGGCAGGCAAGTGCAAATGGCTGCATATCGAGCTAGCTGAATGAACTGGGAAGATTGACAAGTTCACAGACCTAATAGTAATAATGACGTCGTTGACAATTGTATTAACTTTTACAAGAGAGAGGCAACTGTCAAAAGACAGACATCTAGCAATGGCTAGCTCACTATTTTAAATCAACATTTAGTTAAGGTTCGCTACTTACTGGACTATGTCTTCACTGGCCTCCAAGCCAAAGTTGTGGTGCAACTGATCCACACACCATCGAAGCAAGGCATCCGACATTATGAAAGATAAAGCAACTTTAATATGGCAATTTCAAGATAAGGATGTTACCTACTCCTGTTGTAAGCCGGTTGAATAACAAATGCGCACGCAGAGTGCAACAAATAATCCCTTCCCATCAGAAACAGTGTACTGAAGGAGACTGAAGGTTCCGCCTAACTTTTACAGAAAAGTATGTCAATGACTACATACAATACGAAACATTAGAAAATGTCAGCATATCATCAATTCACACGTAAGGTGAACATTTCCATTATACAGTACAACAACAATTTACCACCCCATCTTTATTACAGCAAGTCACGTCCCTCTTCTGCCTATAAGCTTGATTCAGCATTACGGTCACTAGGTGGCAGTTTAGGAATAGACAAAACCTCTGCGAGAATGAACCATAGAGATGTATTGAGATTGCAACGTTGTATCTACCCCATTACGGCGTCTGTGAGAGTAAGGGCTACTTCTATGAGTCGGTAAACAAACTGAAAGGGTGCATACTGCCACCTGGAGTGTGTTATTTGAACGGGTATAAAGTCAAGGTTGGCAATTTACTGCCACCTGCAGTTATGGAATGTTTGCTCACGAGTATAAATATTTGGCTGATCCCTCCTGAGGACCTGGATGGAATTATGTGATCCTTCCTTTACCCATAGGAAGTCCCACCCAGTTGACTACTTAAAAATGTTGAAAGTCCTGAATGGCGCTGCCCATTTTTAAACAGGCTTTTGGGCTCTAGAGTCCTCTATACATCTCTATGGAATGAACATCTCAGTGAACTGGTATCTCATGCATGCAATAGGTATTCTCAATCCAAGACCTAGGGCATGTGGGAGCCTGGGAGGCAACGTGTCTGCCTACAGAGACTATGCAATAGGCATAGCCTACTTTCCGTGAAAGTTGAGTTAGGTGTAATTAAATACGCTAGAAATTAGTATGTAGAGGTCTAGCTCGCCTAAAGTTAACCGGAGAATATAAAATAGCCTCAAATAATGTCGTTTTAAAAATCTGCCTTTACAAATGTTTATACAGTAAGTAACTAGGCCTATATAAATGCCCTAATCAGAAAGATTTTTTCAGAAGTTTGTCAGTCGTAGATCCACCTACAGTGGGGAAAAAAAGTATTTAGTCAGCCACCAATTGTGCAAGTTCTCCCACTTAAAAAGATGAGAGAGGCCTGTAATTTTCATCATAGGTACACGTCAACTATGACAGACAAAATGAGATTTTTTTTCTCCAGAAAATCACATTGTAGGATTTTTAATGAATTTATTTGCAAATTATGGTGGAAAATAAGTATTTGGTCAATAACAAAAGTTTCTCAATACTTTGTTATATACCCTTTGTTGGCAATGACACAGGTCAAACGTTTTATGTAAGTCTTCACAAGGTTTTCACACACTGTTGCTGGTATTTTGGCCCATTCCTCCATGCAGATCTCCTCTAGAGCAGTGATGTTTTGGGGCTGTCGCTGGGCAACACAGACTTTCAACTCCCTCCAAAGATTTTCTATGGGGTTGAGATCTGGAGACTGGCTAGGCCACTCCAGGACCTTGAAATGCTTCTTACGAAGCCACTCCTTCGTTGCCCGTGCGGTGTGTTTGGGATCATTGTCATGCTGAAAGACCCAGCCACGTTTCATCTTCAATGCCCTTGCTGATGGAAGGAGGTTTTCACTCAAAATCTCACGATACATGGCCCCATTCATTCTTTCCTTTACTCGGATCAGTCGTCCTGGTCCCTTTGCAGAAAAACAGCCCAAAAGCATGATGTTTCCACCCCCATGCTTCACAGTAGGTATGGTGTTCTTTGGATGCAACTCAGCATTCTTTGTCCTCCAAATACGACGAGTTGAGTTTTTACCAAAAAGTTATATTTTGGTTTCATCTGACCATATGACATTCTCCCAATCCTCTTCTGGATCATCCAAATGCACTCTAGCAAACTTCAGACGGGCCTGGACATGTACTGGCTTAAGCAGGGGGACACGTCTGGCACTGCAGGATTTGAGTCCCTGGCGGCGTAGTGTGTTACTGATGGTAGGCTTTGTTACTTTGGTCCCAGCTCTCTGCAGGTCATTCACTAGGTCCCCCCGTGTGGTTCTGGGATTTTTGCTCACCGTTCTTGTGATCATTTTGACCCCACAGGGTGAGATCTTGCGTGGAGCCCCAGATCGAGTGAGATTATCAGTGGTCTTGTATGTCTTCCATTTCCTAATAATTGCTCCCACAGTTGATTTCTTCAAACCAAGCTGCTTACCTATTGCAGATTCAGTCATCCCAGCCTGGTGCAGGTCTACAATTTTGTTTCTGGTGTCCTTTGACAGGTCTTTGGTCTTGGCCATAGTGGAGTTTGGAGTGTGACTGTTTGAGGTTGTGGACAGGTGTCTTTTATACTGATAAGTTCAAACAGGTGCCATTAATACAGGTAACGAGTGGAGGACAGAGGAGCCTCTTAAAGAAGAAGTTACAGGTCTGTGAGAGCCAGAAACCTTGCTTGTTTGTAGGTGACCAAATACTTATTTTCCACCATAATTTGCAAATAAATTCATTAAAAATCCTACAATGTGATTTTCTGGATTTTTTTCCCTCAATTTGTCTGTCATAGTTGACGTGTACCTATGATGAAAATTACAGGCCTCTCTCATCTTTTTAAGTGGGAGAACTTGCACAATTGGTGGATGACTAAATACTTTTTTCCCCCCACTGTATGACTCAATCTGAAATCAATAGACAAAATTCCAGCTTCATCATTGTACTTGCAGGGAGAATAAAACTTTATAGGCACGTCATTGTTATATAGTAGATAACAAATACTCTTTACAATGTATTTTATGGGCCATAGTTCCAGTACTTCAAGTCTGATTTGTTCAACATTATACTGCCAGCATGATTATGGAAAGGGGTGCCAAAATACTAAGTGGGATGTGCCTATGCATTATTGCAGCGTTAAATTATCCAGTGCTCAAATTCTCTTTTGATAACAAAGATTTATTTAAGAAATGCGTGTTAGTGGTTTGTCACACTCAGCATATATTTAGCACAATCCACTTAGTTTCCTTCTTAGCATAATGGCTCTGTTGAATAAGCTCCAAGTGAAATCTTGACTATCTGCTGTGCTTGACTTGAACTGAAATAGGTGCCAGTACTAATGTTGGGTGCCGGTACTGTTTATATTCAGGTGCAGGAGCTCCACAATACGTTTAGGCTAATATTCTATAAGATGAACATGAGCTCCACACTACCTTGGAGCTAATATTCTATAAGAGGAACAGGAGCTCTGCAATACTTTTAGGCTAATATTCTATAAGAGGAACAGGAGCTCTGCAATACTTTTAGGCTAATATTCTATAAGAGGAACATGAGCTCTGCAATACTTTTAGGCTAATATTCTATAAGAGGAACAGGAGCTCTGCAATACTTTTAGGCTAATATTCTATAAGAGGAACAGGACCTCTGCAATACTTTTAGGCTAATATTCTATAAGAGGAACAGGAGCTCTGCAATACTTTTAGGCTAATATTCTATAAGAGGAACATGAGCTCTGCAATACTTTTAGGCTAATATTCTATAAGAGGAACAGGAGCTCTGCAATACTTTTAGGCTAATATTCTATAAGAGAAACAGGAGCTCTCAAATACTTTTAGGCTAATATTCTATAAGAGGAACAGGAGCTCTAGCAGTAGAAACATGTATATGCCGGTACTCAGCTCCGGTGAGCTCCTGCCCAAGTCAAGCTCTGACTATCTGACAAAGGGGGTTTCTATTTAATAGATAATGTGCTGCTGGCTACGAATGGCATCCCAATGTTGTAAACAATGGCATTTCAGAGCTGTATTTCAGAATCATTATGCTCAGTCTGATTCTTAAAATGGATTGCAATTGAAAGAAACACAACAGCGTTATAGCAATATGTTTCCATCCTATGTATTTCAAAAAGTGGATAGCCAACAGCTTTATCTATTCATAATCATAACATTGTAAAAGTAGCTTAAAGTAAGATAAAGTTATTATAAAGTACATGCCATATCTTACTGATAATTATTTTGTTGCTCTTTAATACCCATGTAAGCAACGACTACATTTCTGAGGGGTCACCATGTCAGGTTTGCTGCTGCTGTTTGAAGACAATATGGATATGATATGTTGTGTAGGTGATCATGTAATAAAGTGTATGCTCTTTTTGATGAACGGAAGTGCTGAAAGTATAGTAACATTAACTGTAATATACTGCGTAAATATTCCACATACTTAGTAAATGATAATGAAACTGTCATTAAATCAAGACACATTGTAGTTCACACCTAGAAAAAAATACATTTATTTGTGAGAGTCCACAAATCATAGATGATGTGGCACACATACTTGATAATAGAATAGAAGAAGAAGAAGCTTCAATCAAAACAGGTTCAATTCCATCCATGTGTTTTAGAGTTTTAAAAGGGGGAGAGATTATTGCACCACAATAATCAGTCCTCAAATTCCATGTACAGCATCTACAGTAAAACTGTCAAAAATAACAAAGCTAAAAAAAAAGGGGGGGCAACAAACCCTTTTTTTATAAATGTTTCTGGATGTCTTTGACTGACATTTGCACCCGACTAACTTATGTCCATCATCCATTTCGGTTGATATGTTATGAGTTACAATTCGTATGATATGTTTAGAATTTGCTAAACGTACAGTATGTTACGAATTTGCAAAAATGTACAATGTGTTACGAATTTGCAAAATGTATGATATGTTTACGAATTCCAATTTGTTGTGGCTAACGTTAGCTAGGCTAGGGGTTAGTGTTAGGGGTTAAGGTTAGCTAACATGCTACGTAGTTACAAAGTAGCTAAAAAGTAGTAAGTAGTAGTTTCTTTCTAGTTTTTTGAAAAGTTTCTGATTAGCTAAAATGCTAAAGTTGTCTACAATGCCATTCGAACATACAACCTTCGTGTTGCTAGGCGTTCGCATTATACTACTAACATCCACCCTCCTTTTGTGTTTGCCTTAAGTAACCTTCTGTCTTATCTAACTATACCAAACCTAACATATCGTACCAATTTGAGTGTCCCGGATTTAAACATTTACTCTTACGTCTGCTCTATTAGATCAAGCTGATGGAGGACACATCTTCTAGTGATGATTTATAAGTCCAAGCACTACATTGCATGGAAATGATCAGTAAATAAACAAACAGGAAATAAAATCAGTTTAAAAAATGTACAGGTACAAACATAATGCTGATGGAGTGTTGTGTTTTATTCTTGTAGACATAATAATAATAATAACGATGCAATAAAGTTGCCAAAACTCAAAAAGGTATTTTTGCGATGGATATTTTCAATTCACAGAAAACAACACACTAGATACCGCCACACTATCTACAAACACAAAACCAACATAACTTTGACAGAAACCTTGAACAGAAGGTATCCAGCAATTGTTCTTTACACCACATAAGAGAAAACGATTGAACCATTTTGAACTGAGAGCGTTATAAAGGGTAGCCAATAAGCAATTACCCAAGTGGACAAAAACACATTGGATTCAATTGAAGTAACCTTGGTATTTATAATGCTATACAAGGCATGGCTATTCACTCTTCATTGTTGGTTGGTTATAACATCTAATGCCTAGATTCCTTTAAGCCAGTTACATACAACACGATTTTCCACCAGATCCAATGTTAATATGATGTCCTGCAGCGTCCTGCAGGGAAATAGTTGAGTGTGAAAAAGCTGTACATCTTGTAAATTGAAGATTTATGCAGACATAATGTGTTCTATCTCTATATCACAGACAAAGATTCAATCATTTGATATAAGTAATCTATGTGTTTTGTAATGTGATTATGCAACCGTAAGATTTCAAAAACCATGTAGTGTGTTTACTGGATAAAGCATGTGAACATTTCAAGCTCTTAGGTAAAGAAGTCTTTGGAAATGGCTTCCACAAAGTTAGGTGCCGACATGAGGATACCGATCGTGCAGAGGATGGTGAAGAGCGAGAAGGCCATGAGACAGAGCCGGTCGATCACTGACGCCGCAAACTTCCACTCGTTGCACACCAACTCATCCTCGTCATGGTCGCGGAAACGCTTGGCGATGTAGCGCACCTCATCCAGGATCTTGGCCAGATCGGGCTCCAGGCTCCCCGCCGAGGAGGTGGGCCGCGTGGGCAAGAGCACCTCGTCCTCCCCCCCACCACACACCAGACGGCCACACAGGACCCCGGAGTCGGGGGAGGTGGTGGCTGGAGCATAGTGCATGCTCTCCAGGCCGATGTAGAGCATGTTGCCGTTGGTGGAGTGTGGGGCCGAGGCGCTGGCGTTCAGGTCCATGCTGGTGAGGCTCCCACGGGGATGCTTGTTGTGGCAGGCCGGGCGTACACGGTCCTCACCGGGCCGCTTCATACGCAGGAACCAGGCGCACCAGTTGAGCAGGATCACCCGAGTCTTCACACAATCAGAGAGTAAAACCAGAATGAATGTACTGTGCACGGCAGCGTACTGACTGGAGATAGTAAGAGAGAGAATATGAAACTTTTACTCAAATCCTCCCTGCATGACTCCTTTGAACGAGGTGTCCTGCAGGGGCACGATGGCACAGCAGTGGTGACGATCACTATCATGGCTGCCTAATCCTCCCCTGCTTCTAATTGTCCAACTGTATTCCTCAGCCCTCCACTGTAATAGCCAATGTGGTGAGTGTTCTAGCACAAAATGGCTGCTGTCCATCACTCAGATTGGTGCTACACATTGTTAGTGAATGACTTCCCCCTTACCAGGCAAAGGGCTTTGAGACCTATTAGAAAGCACCCTACCTGTCATGTGAATTTCTATCTCTAATTCGACCTAAGCTTGAATCATTACCAGAGGTTGTAAAGCTCTGGTTTTAATCATCAATTATTCAAGGTCCACAATCCACAAGTAATTATCAGTAAATTTATTCATGGAGAGCTCTGCTCAAAAACACAAATATCCTGTTTTTTATACTCCTTGACAAACAAAGACACTATGCTCCTCCCACCTTTCTTAAACATTTACATTTACATTTTACATTTTAGTCATTTAGCAGACGCTCTTAACCAGAGCGACTTACAGGAGCAATTAGGGTTAAGTGCCTTGCTCAAGGGCACATTAACGTCATTTAGCAGACGCTCTTAGCCAGAGCGAGTCACAAATTGGTGCGTTCACCCTATAGCCAGTGGGACAACCACTTTACAATTTGGGGGGGGGGGGGGGGGGGGTTAGAAGGAATACTTTAGCCTATCCCAGGTATTCCTTAAAGAGGTGGGGTTTCAAATGTCTCCGGAAGGTGGTGAGTGACTCCGCTGTCCTGGCGTCGTGAGGGAGCTTGTTCCACCATTGGGGTGCCAGAGCAGCGAACAGTTTTGACTGGGCTGAGCGGGAGCTGTGCTTCCGCAGAGGAAGGGGAGCCAGCAGGCCAGAGGTGGATGAACGCAATGTCCTCGTTTGGGTGTAGGGACTGATCAGAGCCTGAAGGTACAGGGGTGCCGTTCCCCTCACTGCTCCAAAGGCAAGCACCATGGTCTTGTAGCGGATGCGAGCTTCAATTGGACGCCAGTGGAGTGTGCGGAGGAGGGGGGTGACGTGAGAGAACTTGGGAAGGTTGAACACCAGACGGGCTGCGGCATTCTGGATGAGTTGTAGGGGTTTAATGGCACAGGCAGGGAGCCCAGCCAACAGCGAGTTGCAGTAGTCCAGACGGGAGATGACAAGTGCCTGGACCAGGACCAGTTCCCGCCTTCCCCCTTGAATGGTTAGTAACGCCCCCTCTGTTAGTGGGTTGACACTACATGATAATTCTAACATTTATACTGTGTTTGGGGTGAAATTCTTTAGTCATTATTCTTAAAATCCAAATTAATCTAACACTACCCCTGAGAGGCTTTCTTTGGCAGAATCACAACAATGAGGAGTCTGGATATAGAAATAGTGAGTAACTAATAAGATTTCATTGTAATTTCACATAATGGGTTTGTGAAAAAATACACTCACCCACTTAGGCATCTTGCTTCCATCGGGATCGTGATGGTGGTATTGTAAGACCAGAACCGTAGCAATCACAGAGAGACCCACAATGACCATGGTGGTGGCAAAGTACTGAGCTACAATACACAGAGAGACAGAGAGAGAGACAGAGAGAGAGACAGAGAGAGAGACAGAGAGAGAGACAGAGAGCAAGAGATGGTGGACAGAGGACTAGAGGATAAATGACAGAACAGCCACATACCATAAGTTACTGAAATGGGCATCATTTTATCTCAATGAGAGGTTCTCATTTGTCACTCAATGTATTTCAGGCTGAGAAATAGCCCCCCACACAATTGAGTGGTTTAATAATACAAAGATTAGGAACTTACACTATGCCACTTCCAAGCCTCCAATAGTTCTTCCTCTCCTGAAGATGGTGAAATTATACTGTTGGCCTTTTCAAAATGGCAGCCATTACATTTCAGTCATTTAGCAGACGCTCTTATCCAGAGCGACTTACAGTTAGTGAGTGCATACATTTTTCATACTGCCCCCGCCCCCCCCCCCCCCGTAGGAAACGAACCCACAACCCTGGCGTTGCAAGCGCCATGCTCTACCAACTGAGCTACAGGGGACCCATTACAATTGTCATTTCCAATTTAAAAATAGACAATCTTACCGATTAAAGGTACTGAGTCAGAGGTTGCAGGCATGATCTCTGCAACCAGCAACATGAAGACGGTCAGTGAGAGCAGCACTGTTATCCCTAGAACGAAACATAAATGAGTTAGCACAAAGGAAGGGGTTCATGTAGTCTGTGTGATTAACAGGATGGTTATTTTGGAATGCAAAATAATCCTTAAAAAATGTATTTTAAACAGACATTACACATTTCAACAAACACCATTTTACACGAAGGCCTACCATTATTTTGCACATTTCTGAGTTGTTTTTTTTTTTACAAAATGGCTTGCTATGAATACCAATCTATAATTTATTCAGGTGGAATCATCTGCTGTATTGTGTCACATTGCAGCATATTATCCCTGTGTACCCAAAGGGTTCAACTGGATTTCACCAAGATATATTGCGTGTCATTGAATTCTGTTCTATTCTAGTCTGCATTTCACTGTCCTCTGTTCTATTTTTATTCCATCCATGTAATCAAACAGTATTCCGTTTTATTATTATGCTAATTTACACAGTCTTCCGTTTCATACTTTTGTCAGAATCCAGTGCTGCTTCACTGGGTTTTAGCCTACAATGACAGAGGGATCTGAAATAGCAACATCTACTATTGTGGTTCATCCTCATACTGCCTTGAGGCTTACAGGGTTTGAGTGGAGATGTGGGAACAACATCAAACACCTGTGGGTAGAGATTTAACGCAATCCCCCCTGAAGCTTGCTAATGAGCTGGCTGGGTCTCTAAGCCACTGAATTCCAGGGATAGGACGGGGGCTGAATATCTCTAAGTGATTAGGTGTCAATTCCTGGGTATCTCAAAGCACACTGGCACATCTTTCACTCGCTAGGAACTCCTCTTCTGTGTATTCCTGCCTGTAACCATAGCAACAGGTACTTCCCCTTCTCTCTGAGGCCCTACTTGTCAGAGGTCCATGTCTCTCTCAGGAAATGTGAATGGTACACATGAGTACTTAAAATGTCAAACTTGTTTTCAGTATGATTTGCCAGCCAGGTAACAACTCAGTAAATAAGGCGCTTGGTAGCTATTTCAATCTAAGACAAAAAGTAGCCATATATCCTGAGGAGGTCCTCTGTAGCTCAGTTGGTAGAGCATGGCGCTTGCAACGGCAGGATAGTGGGTTTGATTCCCGGGACCACCCATACGTAAACAATTTATGTACACATGACTAAGTGTGTGATCTGTTTAATGGCATATACTATTATAAGTTATAAATTAACACATTGCAAAAGGGAAATGTCGAAAATATTTATATCTAATCCCCTCAGTCTGAGCATGGCTGAACTAAGAAAATAAAACAAATATATTTAGACTAAAAAATAAAGACAGACCGTAGAAATATAATTATTAACAGCCGTGACTCGATGCGTTCTCAGATTGAAGCACAACTCGCCTCACTGGAAATCAGCCAGGCATGTCCAAAATAAGACTTAAACTGAGCAGACAGCTCGCTGATTTAATTTCCGATAGATCGTAGAGCATCAGTGAGGCTTGACCAGTGACTCACTGTCAGGGTTGCCGGTTGCGTCCCAAATGGCACCCTTTTACCCATAGGGCTCTGGTCAAAAGTAGTGCACTATAAAAGGGAATAGGGTTCCATTTGAGACACAGAATCATGTTGGCAGGTGTGTGCACTGCACACCCAAGGACCCTGCCTGAATATTCCTGTCTCTCTTTCCCCTGATCAACAGTCCCTGGCTCTTTTTAAGTCAGCCATGGCAGTTTCCTCAGAAGGAACTGAAACTGAATACATCTTCCTATGTGCATTGATCACTTCTAAAAAGGCTGATAGATAATGGTGTTGGTTGGTTGATACAGTAAGTCTTGATCATATAGGCAGATGGGGTTTTGTGATGGTCACACTTTCAACTAAATTTGATTTATAAATCCTTCATGTTGCATAGTGTGTAAATACTGAACTAAAAATAACATGGCAGTATTAAATTACAGACATTACAGCAAGAGGTTTTTTTCTTTGTTTGAAGTTTGACTGACTACATCAAACACATTTCCTGCTTCCCCAATCACCCCTCTAGACACCCAAACAGCTGCGCCACACACACACAGCTCTTTTGGAGAAACACTGGGTTAATTAAGGAAACCATCTGCATTGCAGGCTCCTAATCTTTCCAATGAGACGTGTAGACATACATAAATCGCCCGGCATGCCTTGATGCCTTATACAGCTCCAAGTCAGCACTCAGCCAGGTTCTGAGAAATGGAAATAGGATTGTCAATATGATTCTCCTAGCACTGAATGATAAATCAGAGTAATCTGAAGACTGAAGCCTGACTTCTGAGAGGTGCATAAGAATTTGCTTTATCACCAACTGCTGGAGCTTTTCATGAATATTTCTTCCAGTGGCTGGTTTCCCCTCAGTGAGTATTGAGTAAATACTGAGTTATAAACTCAGAATAATAATAATTATAATAATACGTGCATTACCTTGTGAGGAGTATAGGGTCTCTTGCCTGGCATGTAGTTTGATGGCTGTATAAAATCCTAGCTTGAAATATATGCTTAATCGCCACACAAATCTCCCATTGACATCAATGGGTGATGTCTGTGAATATCATGATGTTTGTACTTTTCATGTTAGAATTTGTCATGAGAACCCCACACCCCTAGTTACAGGTGTTGATTTAATAACCTATTTATGTTTAAATGTCCAATAATAGTCATCCATCCACCCACATACCCACCCATGCACACACCCATCCACTCAACCACCCACCCACCCACTCATCCACCCATCCATCCACCCACTCATCCACCCACCCACTCATCCACCCACCCACTCATCCACTCATCCACCCATCCATCCACGGAGCTGACCCAGTGATATCTTCTCCCCAGAGTCAGCAGGCAGCAGGAAGACGAGTAGGGCCAAGGTGGAGATGAGAACACAGGGGATGAGGAGGTTGAGGCCATAGTAGAGGGTCCGTCTACGCATCACCACAGTAAAGGTTACGTCAGGGTAAGGCTCCTTACAGCAGTCGTAGAAGCGCTCGTTCCTGCGCCCGGGCACCTCTGTATCATACACCAGGAAGACAACAATATAGGAAGTCAATTACAGTTTGAGGACTCAATTTGGGTTGTACTAAAATTATTTGCAGTAATGGATGTCTTTATTTCAGGTAAATTCATAGGTGTTTCACAATAAGGAAGCTTTAGTAGGTTAAGGGTGTTTGACCCTGAATCAAATGGTATTGTTAGTTTTCATCAGTTCCCCATTACAGTAATAGTGCCTGCCATATCTCTTTATAGGCAGTCCAACATGCAAGAAAAACTATATTCAAAGTATTAAAGCCTACCACTGGCTTCCAGCACTGGGATGTCATTTCATTAGAACCCCTCTCTTGTAAATACATTAGTCAATTTGCCAGGGATTCCGTAGAAGCAAATTTCACTAAAGATCTGTAATGCTGAGGAAAAGCCTTTTGAATAAATTCCCCTATTTCATTTGACTGTGATCAATCGTACATACAGGATCTAGCTTTTATAGTTTGACCATCTAGTTTGAAAGTTAAACTCAAAAAAAAAAAGAATAGTCTGGGTCATATTTGTGAGTTATCCCAAACTTCCAAGCTTGTTCAAAACAGTTCTTGCAATAACAATTTAAATGTTATATTGTAATTTAGACACTTTGATCCAAAACACATACTGTAAGAAGAATACCGGTATATGGCCCATACAGGACTCCAACCCACTACTCTGGGGTTGGCAGCATCGTCTTCCAAACAACCGTGCCATCAGAACCCAGGTTCTGTGGTGACAATATCTTGTCCAATACTGGCCAGCCGCCATCTCTTACCCACTAGGTCCCACTCTCCGTTGGGGATGTAACCTGTGATATCTGCCTCCATCATCTGTAGGTCCAGAGACCAGCCTCCATAGGTCCAGGAGCCAAACTTCAGGTCACACCTCTGGAGATCAAAGGGGAACCAGCGCACATCGATGTAGCAGGTGCTCTTGAATATGCCTGTGTTGGAACATGAATGAGGAGAGAAAGAGAGGGTGATGGAGATAAATGGGAGGGATGGAGAGAGAGATGGAGGTAAATGGGAGGGATGGAGGGAGAGATAGAGAGAAAGGCATGGATAGAAATAGATAAACATAAAGAAAGTTAGAGCTAGAGAGATGACTTTCAAAGGGTATAAAGATATGAAAGACAGAGTCCTATACACCACAACAACAGTAAAGACAGAGTCCTATACACCACAACAACAGTAAAGCCAGAGTCCTATACACCACAACAGTAAAGCCAGTCCTATACATCACAACAACAGTAAAGACAGTCCTATACACCACAACAACAGTAAAGACAGAGTCCTATACACCACAACAAACAGTAAAGCCAGAGTCCTATACACCACAACAGTAAAGCCAGTCCTATACATCACAACAACAGTAAAGACAGTCCTATACACCACAACAACAGTAAAGACAGTCCTATACACCACAACAACAGTAAAGACAGAGTCCTATACACCACAACAACAGTAAAGACAGAGTCCTATACACCACAACAACAGTAAAGACAGTCCTATACACCACAACAACAGTAAAGACAGTCCTATACACCACAACAACAGTAAAGACAGTCCTATACACCACAACAACAGTAAAGACAGTCCTATACATCACAACAACAGTAATGACAGTCCTATACACCACAACAACAGTAAAGACAGAGTCCTATACACCACAACAACAGTAATGACAGTCCTATACATCACAACAACAGTAATGACAGTCCTATACATCACAACAACAGTAATGACAGTCCTATACACCACAACAACAGTAAAGACAGCCCTATACACCACAACAACAGTAAAGACAGCCCTATACACCACAACAACAGTAATGACAGTCCTATACATCACAACAACAGTAATGACAGTCCTATACACCACAACAACAGTAATGACAGTCCTATACATCACAACAACAGTAATGACAGTCCTATACATCACAACAACAGTAATGACAGTCCTATACACCACAACAACAGTAATGACAGTCCTATACATCACAACAACAGTAATGACAGTCCTATACATCACAACAACAGTAATGACAGTCCTATACACCACAACAACAGTAAAGACAGTCCTATACATCACAACAACAGTAATGACAGTCCTATACACCACAACAACAGTAATGACAGTCCTATACATCACAACAACAGTAATGACAGTCCTATACATCACAACAACAGTAATGACAGTCCTATTCACCACAACAACAGTAATGACAGCCCTATACATCACAACAACAGTAAAGACAGAGTCCTATACACCACAACAACAGTAATGACAGTCCTATACACCACAACAACAGTAAAGACAGTCCTATACATCACAACAACAGTAAAGCCAGTCCTATACATCACAACAACAGTAATGACAGTCCTATACACCACAACAACAGTAATGACAGTCCTATACACCACAACAACAGTAAAGACAGTCCTATACACCACAACAACAGTAAAGACAGAGTCCTATACACCACAACAACAGTAAAGACAGTCCTATACACCACAACAACAGTAAAGACAGAGTCCTATACACCACAACAACAGTAAAGACAGAGTCCTATACACCACAACAACAGTAAAGACAGTCCTATACACCACAACAACAGTAAACACAGTCCTATACACCACAACAAACAGTAAAGACAGAGTCCTATACACCACAACAACAGTAATGACAGTCCTATACACCCCAACAACAGTAAAGACAGAGTCCTATACACCACAACAATAGTAAAGACAGTCCTATACACCACAACAACAGTAAAGACAGCCCTATACACCACAACAACAGTAAAGACAGAGTCCTATACACCACAACAACAGTAAAGCCAGTCCTATACACCACAACAACAGTAAAGCCAGTCCTATACACCACAACAACAGTAAAGCCAGTCCTATACACCACAACAACAGTAAAGACAGAGTCCTATACACCACAACAACAGTAAAGCCAGTCCTATTCACCACAACAACAGTAAAGACAGAGTCCTATACACCACAACAACAGTAATGACAGAGTCCTATACACCACAACAACAGTAAAGACAGAGTCCTATACACCACAACAACAGTAAAGCCAGTCCTATTTACCATAAAAACAGTAAAGACAGAGTCCTATACACCACAACAACAGTAAAGACAGAGTCCTATACACCACAACAACAGTAAAGACAGCCCTATACACCACAACAACAGTAAAGACAGAGTCCTATACACCACAACAACAGTAAAGCCAGTCCTATACACCACAACAACAGTAAAGACAGAGTCCTATACACCACAACAGTAATGACAGTCCTATACACCACAACAACAGTAATGACAGTCCTATACATCACAACAACAGTAAAGACAGAGTCCTATACACCACAACAACAGTAAAGACAGTCCTATACACCACAACAACAGTAAAGACAGTCCTATACATCACAACAACAGTAATGACAGTCCTATACACCACAACAACAGTAAAGACAGCCCTATACATCACAACAACAGTAATGACAGTCCTATACACCACAACAACAGTAAAGCCAGTCCTATTCACCACAACAACAGTAAAGACAGAGTCCTATTCACCACAACAACAGTAATGACAGTCCTATACACCACAACAACAGTAAAGACAGTCCTATACACCACAACAACAGTAATGACAGTCCTATACACCACAACAACAGTAAAGACAGAGTCCTATACACCACAACAACAGTAAAGACAGAGTCCTATACACCACAACAACAGTAAAGACAGTCCTATACACCACAACAACAGTAATGACAGTCCTATACACCACAACAAACAGTAAAGACAGTCCTATACACCACAACAACAGTAAAGACAGAGTCCTATACACCACAACAACAGTAAACACAGTCCTATACATCACAACAACAGTAAAGATAGTCCTATACAACACAACAACAGTAAAGACAGAGTCCTATACACCACAACAACAGTAAAGACAGAGTCCTATACACCACAACAACAGTAAAGACAGAGTCCTATACACCACAACAACAGTAAAGACAGTCCTATACACCACAACAACAGTAAAGACAGAGTCCTATACACCACAACAACAGTAAAGACAGAGTCCTATACACCACAACAACAGTAAAGCCAGTCCTATTTACCATAAAAACAGTAAAGACAGAGTCCTATACACCACAACAACAGTAAAGACAGTCCTATACACCACAACAACAGTAAAGACAGAGTCCTATACACCACAACAACAGTAAAGACAGAGTCCTATACACCACAACAACAGTAAAGCCAGTCCTATTTACCATAAAAACAGTAAAGACAGAGTCCTATACACCACAACAACAGTAAAGACAGTCCTATACACCACAACAACAGTAAAGACAGAGTCCTATACACCACAACAACAGTAAAGACAGAGTCCTATACACCACAACAACAGTAAAGCCAGTCCTATTTACCATAAAAACAGTAAAGACAGAGTCCTATACACCACAACAACAGTAAAGACAGAGTCCTATACACCACAACAACAGTAAAGACAGTCCTATACACCACAACAACAGTAAAGACAGAGTCCTATACACCACAACAACAGTAAAGACAGCCCTATACACCACAACAACAGTAAAGACAGTCCTATACATCTTAACAACAGTAATGACAGTCCTATACACCACAACAACAGTAAAGACAGCCCTATACACCACAACAATAGTAAAATCAAATCAAAGAAATAGTAACGAGTGCCCAGTAATCTGTCATGAGAAAGAAACCATCTTCAACTATATTAAAGGCATGAAACCATTTTCAACTATATTAACGGCATGAAACCATCTTCAGCTATATTAACGGCATGAAACCATCTTCAGCTATATTAACGGCATGAAACCATCTTCAGCTATATTACAGGCATGAAACCATCTTCAGCTATATTAAAGGCATGAAACCATCTTCAGCTATATTAAAGGCATGAAACCATCTTCAGCTATATTAACGGCATGAAACCATCTTCAGCTATATTACAGGCATGAAACCATCTTCAGCTATATTAAAGGCATGAAACCATCTTCAACTATGTTAAAGGCATGAAACCATCTTCAGCTATATTAAAGGCATGAAACCATCTTCAACTATGTTAAAGGCATGAAACCATCTTCAGCTATATTAAAGGCATGAAACCATCTTCAGCTATATTAAAGGCATGAAACCATCTTCAGCTATATTAAAGAAGACTGTGAGAGGATGGGGATGAGAAAACAACTCTGGCAGGAGACAAAAGGCCATAAAAGAGAAGGCAGAGGAAAATGAATGTCCATTTACATGCAATGGAGACTGGCCAGCGAAGACAAACGGCTGGAAATTCAATTTGGTTCTGAACACTGATCTTCTCTACATCGTTTCCGCCTGCCTCTTCACTCATACTGCTCAAACATTGTGGTCTTACCCGATGGCTTTGTTGTGCAGTAAAGCATTGATAGAGGTTTGTGCTATAATGGTTTGTCTGATTGAACAAGAGTTCATTTTGAGAAGTTAGGGAGCAATTTGTCCACGACGCCACTATCAATTCAGAGGAAAGTCTAGTAATGGGCTATTTCCAGCCATTTTGATTTGGATGCTGAGGTACGGAGGCCCAGTGTTGTATTATAGTAAGGGAAAAGTAAGAGGGGAGTTTAGGAAGGAACACAGAACAGTAATCACCCACACTGACAGGTTGAGGACGTACTCACATGGTAAATGCACGTGTCGCTCTGTGTGTGTGTGTGTCTGAGGAGCGGAGTTGATTAGACAGTGTCATGGATCTTTTGACGCTGTGTGTCTTGACAGTTCTGGTTCAGTAAGGGCTTGCTCAGACAGCACCAACACTATGGTATATTAAGGGCTTTCTCAGACAGCACCTACACTACGGTATATTAAGGGCTTGCTCAGACAGCACCAACACTACGGTATATTAAGGGCTTGCTCAGACAGCACCAACACTGCGGTATATTAAGGGCTTGCTCAGACAGCACCAACACTGCGGTATATTAAGGGCTTGCTCAGACAGCACCAACACTATGGTATATTAAGGGCTTGCTCAGA